AGCAATGGAGATCTCAGTTTTATTTTTACATTCCGCAGCTTTACTCAAGCCTTTTATTATTATTATTATTTTTTTTTTTTGTCAAACAATATTGTAAGTCATCCTGCTGGGCTCTTTGCTCTTGGTTCACAACCTAAATCTGGCTAAAAGCCCTGATAATAACTATGCCATGGCCTCAACATTTCACTGGCTTGAAATTCTCTTTGCCAGATTAATTAGTCCACCATCTTTAATCTTAATCTCAAGCAAAGTCTTTGGACATGAGCAAAGTACAGACAAACTTTTTGTCAGGCTATTACATATGGAAATCTGGAGTCCAGTACCCATTGCAGTCCTTTTTAGCAGAAACTTCCTGAGTCTGGTCTTTACTTGTTTTCTGGTCTTCTGAGCTCTGACCAGACTCTCCCATACAGAACAGCCTTAGTTGTTTTAGGGCTATTCTTTTAGGCAACATCTCTGAGCATTTTAAAACTCTTTTCACAAGCCATTTCTAAAGGTTATTGAACCACATAGTCAGATATAGTCACAGCAATGATCTCACTTCTGGTACCATGTTTTATCGTGGTTACTTTTCTCTAATTGTTGAGACAAAATGTCTGATGTGTAAAATAAAGGAATGAAAGGTTTATTTAGCTTATAGTTTTTGGAGGTGTTAGTCTATATTTAGCTGCCTCCAAGGCAGGATGGCATGACTAAAGGGCACTGTTCATGGCAGCCACAAGCAACAAGAGCAAAGTGGGTGAAAAGGGAAAAGCATGCCTTCTTTTCTCCCTTATATTGTATGCCAACTACGTATCCCTGGGTGTAAGCAGCACTTAAACCACCAATCCAGCACTAGACAACAAACCAATCACAAATGCTAGACTCAGTTGCCACAATGACTGCATGAGGCTTGGGGGGCCATCCAAATACAATCATAATAGCATGTACTGAAAAATCACATTCTACCCCATAAATATGCATTACTAATATGTGTCAGCTAAAATTTTTAAAAATATATTACCAAGCCATTTAGGAATAAACTAAGTAATATACTATGTCTTGACACCCTTTGATATGACCTTCAGGCCTGGGCTTTCGTATGTAATGGGTTCATCAGTTGTTGAAGCTACGTGGCCAAGAGATGAAAGTGTGCTAAGTTCTTAGATACTGTTCTTTTTTTTTTGTCTTTTTCATTTTTATTGGTACGGGGGATCAAACTCACGACTGCCTGCTTGTAAAGCAGGTGCTTATGCTGCTGAGCTAAATCCCCAGCCCGATAATGTTCTTTTTTTTTTTTTTTTGTCTTTTTCCTTTTTATTGGTATCAGGGATCAAACTCACGACTGCCTGCTTGCAAGGCAGGCACTTATGCCGCTGAGCTAAATCTCCAGCCCCCCCCATACTGTTCTTTTAATGGAACTGTCATCACAATCTGTGAATTGACTATATTTTTTAATATACATATTTTGCAAACAAGACGACTAGCTTCGGAAAGATTGAGGTATGAAGACTTACAAGCTCTTTGTATGTTGTCAGTGTAAGGCTTTGTGCTAGGCTCCTTATCTCAGAGCTTAGGACACTACTTTATAGTGCCCTCCTGCCTTGGGTGAAGGTATGAAGGATTGTATCACAGCGGTAATCTCGGGCTCAACCCTGTATGGGAGCTGTTAGCACAGTTTCTCTGTTTCGTGCAGGGAGCGGCATATCTCACTGCTGCCACCTTATCTCGCCCTCCTGTGGGCCTCTGCCGCATCTGCCTACATTTCCCATGATCCTCATGTCTGCCTACATTACCCATAATCCTCTCCTGTTTACATCATATATCTGGATGTGAGGATGACCTATTAGATAGCGCTCCGTGCCCTCTTCCTGCCCCGTTGGCCCACCTCTACCCTATATAAGTTGTCGCCATTTTCAGAATAAACAAGACTTGATTGGAACCTTTCATCTTGTCTCCATCTCTCTCTCCTCTTGCCCAGCCCCCTATCTCCGTCCCCTCTCCAGGCGAGGCCCACAGACTGATCCACGGGCTGGATCAGTTTAGCAATTCTTGAATTTATGAAGAAGGAGAAGCACCTGATGATGCTGAAACTCACTGCCTTGCAGAGGAGAAGCTGGAAGGCCCTTCCTTCCATCTCTTCCACCTCATTATGCATGTGGAGTGTAATTTTGAAAATCACCTGGGCTACAGGTCATAACGTATATACTGGAATGTTAAACAGCCAGTTAAGATTTAGAATATGGTAAAAAGATACAAAGTACTTGTTATGGATTAAGAACTGGTGGTCAATTTAACGCCAGCTGTATTATATCAGCATGGCACTGAGCAAAGATGCTCCACCTGGGGAAAGTTGCCAGAATAAATAGGTGGAGAATAAGGGTGTTGAGGCATTAATGCGTTGTTGCATGAAGGTATTGTGGGTTCTCCTACGAGTTGCTGTTTGAGCCATTGATTATCCTGGAGAAGCTTTGGTCCTCATATCAAGCATTGCTTCCTGGCTCTGGAGGGGAAGATGTGTGCTGCCTGGTCTTCAGGATGAACTCGTTGTGTTGGCTTCCTGGGATGTACCCAACTGTGCTTGTTGTTGGAGGAGCTCAGGGCCTCTGTGTCACTGAGGATGGCTGTGGTGCCTTTAGGACAGCCCCAGTTTTTGTTGTGAGTGTGACTTCCCAGCTCCAGCATAGAACCCTCATCCCACCAGCTCAGTTCCTTCACCCCGCTGGCATAGACTTTCTGGCTTCCACTGCTGACCTTTGGGCTTTCCCAGCATGGATCCGTAAAAGAGACTGGCATGAGTCCTTCTTGTAGGCTCTGGACCTCCAGTTGGACTCATGGGAGGCATTGTCATGAGCTCTGGGTTTTCATCTGGACTCATGTAGGACATTGTGGTGGGATTTAGGCCCTTGACTAAATATTCTATGTCTTTGGTGTTGCGAATAGATTTTCTGCATTTTCTTGTGTTGACTCCCAGTGGCCATTAAAAAATATTATAAACTCCAGGTCTTGATTCTAATTGTTCTCTGTGCAATCCCTGACTACAACAGTACTATACAGTACAACATGGAATAAACATAGGGATAAGGTATAAGCATAGAAAGTAGAGGATGTTTGCCTTCAAAGAAACAATAATATTTTGTGTTTTTAAAATCTTGTTTTGTAGTTCAGGTGCCCTTGAACTCACCATGTAGCCCATTCTAGCCTCAAACTTGGGGCAATCTTCCTGCCTCAGTCTCCTGTGAATGCTGGAATTATAGGTGTGCACTGCCACACTAAGTGTAGCCAGGACCTTTACAAGGAGCTGTATTGGGCTGGGGATTTAGCTCAGTGGCATAAGCACCTGCCTTGCAAGCAGGCGGTTGTGAGTTCGATCCCCGGTACCAATAAAAATGAAAAAGACAAAAAACAAACAAAAAAAACAAGGAGCTGTATTATATCGACCTCTGGTTTCTTTCTTTTGAAACAGTATCTCACTATGTAGTTCTGGCCAACCTTGAACTTCTGGGGAGATTCTCCTGTCTCAGCCTTGCAAGTACTGGCATGGATTTACAGGTGTGCATCACCATGCCCAGGCATCCCCAGTTCTTTTAAAAATTTGAGACAAGTTCTCACTAAATTACTAAGTTGTCCAGGCAGGATTTGTACAATCTTCCTGTCTCAGCCTTTCATGTACCTGGGATTTTAGGCATGTGACACCTTACCTAGCTAATTACGCTTACCAAGAATAATTTTTGAAGTAGAAAGCAAAACACACTTTGGGGCTCAAAGTGGTGGGAAATGTCTGGAATTATCTTTAACCATTTGTAATTTTTTCAATCATTACTCCAACTGTTACAAATGGCACTTCATTTGATTTCTTTAGAGGTTTTAGTTGGCTCACTGTTTTTAGACAAACACAAAGCTAGAGCTACAATTTAAAAGCAGTAACTTAAAGGCAGTAACTTTTTCTTTTTCTCTTTTCTTTTTAATTCTTTTTTTTTTTTTTTTTTCTTGAGACAGGATTTAGCTCTGTTGTTCAGACTGGGCCTTGAATTTATTTATGTAGTCCAGGCTGGCCTCCAGCTCACAGGGATTCTTCTGGCTCAACCTCCCAAGTGCTGGGATTATAGGAATGCACCATCACATCCCACAAAGTTGTAACTTCCTAAGGGACCTTGTCTGCACCTCTGAAAAAGTGCATTGGAAAAACAACAAACCCTTCAAATCTATACTAGTGCTCAAAATATTTTCAGTTTTAAATTTTTATTAGTACATGTTGGTAGTATATGATAACATTCATTGTGGGGAGTTAGCATGTGAACTCAACCTCTTTAATTCCAAAACAGTTTTAACTCTGCCAAACCAATGACTAGCCATCTGAGAAAAGATGGTTAATGACTTTCTGGTGTGATGCATTCATTCATTCTTTCTTTTGTTTTGAGAGTCTTGGTATGTAGCTCAGGATGGCCTTGAATTGGAGGCCATTCCTCCTGCCTCATCTTCCCAAGTGCAGAGATTTCAGGGGCACATCACCATGCCCAGCCCTGGAGTGATTTCACATTATCCAGCAGTGTGACCAGTCCTCTCCCATTCAAAAAAACCAAAAAACAAAAAACACTTGGAATGTTCAGTAAACTGAATCCAGCCAAAGCGAAAAGCAAAGATCAGAACAATAAAACTTCGCTAAAGTGGGTATTCAGGTTAGATTGTTTGGCCAGGGAGCTCGGCTTTTCCAAGGGAACTCCCCGAACCTTCGTAGGTGTCAAAAGCCCTAGCGTCCGTTATCTAGGGAAATTAGATCTCCTAAAATCCTTAGCTTCCGCAGCATCTCCCGCTCCAGGGAGCCCAGTACCGCGCTTTGGCCTAAAATCGGTGCGGAGTCCTTTCCCTAGGCAACGTCTGTCGCGGGGCATGACGGTAGTTGTAGTTTATATTGGGCCCAGGGTGGCCGTGCACAAACGCAGAGGGGACAGCAGGAACCACATTTCCCTGGAGTCCTCGGGACGAGTAGAGCGGGGCCTTCTGGGGGTGGGGCCTTCCGGGGCGGGGCCTTCTGGGGGCCAGGTTCCGTTCGCCAGGCAGATTCTGGCGGCTCATTCGTAAACGCTAGGGCGACGTATCCGCAGGCTGTAGTGGAAACCTTGGCGCAGGCTTACCGAACTGGTAAATCCTGGGCGAGAGGTGCAGAAGAGCTGGAGGGCGGGTGGTGCGGCGGGGTTCCGGCTCCGCGTGTGCGGGTTGCGGGGCGCGGGGCGCGGGGCGGGGTGGCGTTGAGATGTCCGAAGCGCGGGAAGCGGCCGCTCGGCTCTGAGGCGCCTGGGACTCGCGCTCGGGACTGTGTCGTTCTGTGCCTGAGGTGCAGGGCCGAGGGTGGCCTCGCTCAGGGTCGTCTGGGCTCCTCTGCGGAGGCCGAGCGGGCCGTGGCTTGTCGCCTGCTCGCGTCCGGCAGATCCCCTCGGAGACTGTCGGGTCCGAGGATAGCCAGGAGTTTGCCATCCGCGTCCACTTTACTCCTCCGCCAACGCCCGCCTTTTCCTTTCTCTTGCTTTAAAGAACCTTCACACAGCAGGCTTCGGAGGTTTTTTCCTCTTCCTTTTCGCTCGCTCTCGTTCTTTCTCTCTCTCTTTTTCTTTTCGAGGGTCTTACTGTGCAGATTAGGTCAGCTTTTGCCTCACTTTGTAGCCCGGGCTGGCCTGGAAGTCGCAGCGATCCCGAATGCTGACATTACTGGTGTTCAAAACCACACCTGACCGGAGGTTTCCATACTAGAAAACAAAACAAAACAGAACAAAACAGGTTTCTTAGCCAGGTGTAGTGGCGCATACTTGTAATCTTAATGCCAGCACTTGAATTCACTGTGTAGCCCAGGTGGGCCTTGAACTTCCGTGCGATGTCCTGCCTTGGCCTCCCCAGTGCTGGGATCACAGGTGTGCAGCACCACACCAGGCTTTTTTTGACGTTTCCTATGTTAAAAAATGGCCTTGTAGTTTATCTCCTTTTAAAATTTGGGTTTTAATGTTAAGTGAAATATAGTTTAAATATCACATTGTTTCTCCTGCATGAGAAAGCCAGAGTGAAAATAAAGAACAGAATGAAGGGTAGATAGTAAGAAGCACGGATGTTTTCTGTGAACAGAGTTTTTATTTTTTGGTACTGGGGATTGAACTCTTGACCTCAGGCTTACTAGGCAGGTGCTTATGTGCAACAGCTAAATTACTGGCCCCTGTGAAGAGTTTTTTTTGATACTGGGAATCGAACTGAGGTACTTGAATTTGCCAAGCATGCACTTACTCTGCTGAGCTATATTCCTAGCCCCTTGAATAGGTTTAATTTTAATGTCATTTGCTCAATCTCCTGCTTTTTCATTGACTCTGATGAATCTTAAGTTATTATTTAAAAAAAATTTTTTTTTAAAATTGGTACCGGGGATCAAACTCACGACCACGCGCTTGCAAGGCGGGCGCTTATGCCACTGAGCTAAATCCTCAAGTTACTATTTTTAAGAAGTCTTTGTTTTCACAGTCACTAACCACAATCCTGTTTTGTGTGTCTGAGATTCTGTTCTCTCATTGGCTCATTCTGCTGTGTATACTTTCAGTGGTAATTTTATTTCCTGTGTATCTATGAATATGTTTTATGGATTTAATTTCTTTTCTATGTTGGGGATTCGTGGTTTCCATCATTTTCCTAAGCTCTTGTATTTTTTGTTTTTACTTTTTATCTGTATCTGCTCTAGATTCACTAATCATGTGTTTCATTATGGTTACTATCTGTGTAGTTATCAGAGAAATTATTTCTGATTTGATTTTTTCATGGAATCTTGTTGATCTGGTTTTTTTTCATTGTTAGCACTTCAGAGAGGCCAGCTGGGTGGCTTTTTGCCTTTGTTGAGCTGGAAGTCTGGGGTTGCATCTTGTTTTAAGTGTTGTCTCATTTTTATTTATTTTATTTTATTTTTTAGTTTGACTGCTGGGTTGATGCTTATAAATTGCCTATGATGAGTAGCTTTATTGCTAATGTGTCCAACCCTTAGGAAATGACTGCTTCTCAGAGATGTCTTCCACGTGTAGCTGGCTTTTGGGTTATGAGTCTATTGCAAGATCTTAACTCTTCAATTTATTGAGAAGGGAAAATTGCTGCCTTTTTGCCCCAGCTTCTGATTCTTTGGCACTGGCTTATAGTAATTTTAGTTAACCATTAGGAAATCCCTGTCTTGGTATACTAGGAAGATAAGTGATTATAACAGCTAGGTCACTTTGGCTAAAATGGTGCAATTGTCAATAACAATAGCGTCAGATAATCAGCCCCTGCACTATGCTGCATTCACTGGTCCATTCCCTTGGTGTGTTTCTCCGTGGTGGTCTCCAGTAATCACTTTTTTTTGTCCTGGAAATGATAATCAGGACATTGTGCTAGCAAGGCTGGCACTGTGCCTGGTCTCTGCGGGTTTAAGCTGCCCCTCCTACGTGGTGAGTCCAGAGTCAGGGAGAAAGCGTGGATGCCACCACCCTCTTCTTTTTTTTTGGTACCAGGATCTTGTATGTATTGCCAGTCCTGTCAGTACTGCTTATGCTCTTGAGCTATATCCCCGGGCTTCACTTCCCTCTGTAAGTTTTTCTTTTTGCTCTCCCACAGTTCTTGTTTCAGTTCTTGCTTCAGATTCTTCTGGGTGCCAGGGCCCTCTTCCCTCCTTGTTTTCCTCATGTTGGTGTTTGTTGTCTGGGCACCAAGTCCTGGAGAGGCTCTTTCTCTGGTGCTCACCACCTCTCCAGTGTAACCTTAGTAATTCAGTTCAGGTTTGCAAAGCCCTGCGTTTTATTGTTCAGTTTCCAAAACTGTACAACACTTGGAACTATCTTTGGCTTTGGCAATGGCTCTGTAAGTGGTGACTTTTATTGGGATCAAGTGAGTGAAATGCTTACTGAAGAATGATTCCTGGGAGCTCTAAGAATGAAGCAAAAGTCTCCTTAACTTCATCATGTATTTTGAAAAATAGGTGAAGATTTATTTATTTAGGTTTTTTGAGACTCTGTCTTACTTCCTAGGTCAGGTTGAACTTTTGACTATTTTATTTTGAAGCTGTTTTCCTTTCAGTCTCAGTGGATGCATTACTGGTGTATTGGAAAGCTGTTGTTTTTATTTTAATATTATATCCTGCTGATTTATTTTAAACTTAATTTTACTAAGTATTTATCCAGTTCTTTCTAACTGCTAGGCATTGTTCCATGATGCTAGGCAATGGAAAATATATAGTTATCTTCCAGGCATTTCACAGCTTGGCTGGTAGAGTATGCATATAAAATTGAAATACCACTAAGACTTGAGATAAACAATAAATTAGTGATGTTCCGGACTGAGTGAGTGAGATGGGTGGTGGGAGGAAGGGTAGGGAAGCAGTGTAAAGCTGCAGATTGGTACTGCTTAGTGATGGCTGCAGCCTTTTTTGCCAAGGTTTGGAGAAAATAGATTCCATAATTGGGCAAAGAAAGAAGAAAACACTTAGTGTAAAATGGAACATGGATAGTACAATTTTTTTTTTAATTGATTAAGTTGGAAGGTGTCTTAGACTCCATTTACTTAACCTATCTAGCACTTGTATATCATTAAAGATTGAATGATTAGATTAGAAGTGATCTTAGGTTTTTTTTAAAATTTTTTTTATCGGTACCCGGGATTGAACTCACAACCGCCTGCTTACAAGGCAGGTGCTTATGCCGCTGAGCTAAATCCCCAGCCCCCGTCGTTTTCCTTCTTTTATCAGTACCGGGGATCGAACTCACGACTGCCTGCTTGTAAGGCAGGAGCTTATGCCACTGAGCTAAATCCCCAGCCCCAATCTTAGGTTTTTGATTACTCAGTTTGGATACTTGGTGACAGAAACCCAAACCAACCATTTGGATTAATACCCAGCTACTTTGCTGGTTAAGGTCTTTTGTATATTTAATTTTTTGATTCTTTGTTTTATCACACGGGGTCTCGTGATATAGTTCAGGTGGCTTTGAATTCACTACAGACTCCAGGATGGCCTTAATCTCATAGCCATCCTCCTGCCTCAGCCTCCAAACTGCTGAGATTACAAGTGTGCTGTGTATTTACTTTTTACTATTAATGAAATTTTTGTCCTCAGTTGAGGTTTGGGCTAGTTTTGGATATTAGAATATCAAAATAATACTTTTTGTGTTACAGGTATTGGAAAACAATAGCTGTTTTGGCTTTTCCACCATTTAAATATCTATGTTTGTCTTCTGACTGCAATGTTTCTGATGCCAACCTCTTCAGAACTAAACAGTGGGCAGAACTTTCTAACCCAATGGATGACCAATCCTTCTCGTGCTGGAGTCATATTAAATCGTGGATTTCCTATTTTGGAAGCAGATGAAGAGAAGCAAACAGCTACAAATACTTCTACTTTTCTTAGTAAAACTACACGTTTTTCAAATAGTTTCAGCTTTAGTAGTGAAGAAGATTCACTTCATGAAGAACTGAAGTTGGAATCTAGCAGTCCTCATAAATTACAGTCACAAAAATCAGAAGCCAGTGGAATTTTGCCTTTAATTAAAAAGAAACCACAAATAGTGGCATGTCAGAACACCCCTGGAAATCAGAAAGACAACAAAAGTGACTTTATGCCCAGTTTTGATGGTGATTTTAAAGATGTGTTTTATAAAGATCCACTTTTTAAAAAGCTTGAACAGGTATAATAGGATCTGGCCTAAAACATAGTAGCATGATTGAAGATGCTATGGGATTGTAAGTCTCTTATTTCTGACCACCTGTTTTTTTCTTTTACTCTGAAAGCCTCAAAATACCAGATTTTACTTTTTTTAGTGTGAAACATCAAAATGTATTTAATATGTAAGGTATAACATTTAACATGGTTTCATGTCTTTTAAGTCACTACCTCATTTGAGAAAATTAGATTAGAAATGGTTGATCAAATAAGAGGAGAAAAAAGAGTTGACAATGTCTTTATAGCTACCCTTTGGTAAGACTGAAAGGTTTCATATGACTTTCCTTTTTCTGGTTGAGATAGCTGATACCATTTCCTCAGAAGAAACTGGATTGTAGGGATTCAGTGCAGACTTAGTTACTGAGGATCCTCCTGAAACTTCATAGGAGGTGGAGAGATTAAGATAAATGTAAGGAACAGGGATCTCTGAAGTAGAAAGTTAGTTTAATGAGTATAATTTTATATTTAAAAAGCTGAAGGAAGTACAGCAGAGGAAGCAGGAACAACTGAGGAGGCAACAGTCAGAGCAGCTGCAGAGGTTTTTGGAAGAGCAAGAGAAGCTGCTTACCGTGGTGTCTGGACAGCGTGTGCTTCCAGGTATGTTTGCTTTGCCCTTTGGTTAGTGTAAGAGAAAGTTACCTACATACCTTTAATGGTCTGCTGTTATTTCTAGCATTTCTGTATCATATTTGGCAAATTCCAGTATCTTCAGGGCCTGTCATATAAGTGTGACGTGGTCATGGTATAATATGAGTTTGGCACATAGAACCTGAGTGTGTGCCAGGGCCTGAGCTATGCTTCCAGCTAGCATTTGTTATCAGCAAAGTCAGGCTTCATGGTACATGCATGTAATCCCAGTCATTAAAGAGACTGAGGAAGGAAAAATTGCAAGTTTGAGGCCAGCGTAGGCAACTTAGTGAGAACTGTCTCAAAAGTAAAAACACTTGGGGCTGGGGATTTAGCTCAGCGGCATAAGCGCCTGCCTTGTAAGCAGGCAGTTGTGAGTTCGATCCCTAGTACCGATAAAAACGAAAAAGACAAAAAAAAAAAAAAAAAAAAAAAAAAAAGTAAAAACACTTAAGATGGACATGGTACACATGCCTGTAGTCCCAGCACTCTGGGAGGTGAAAGCAGGAGGATCCTTGTGAGTTTGGCGCACTCTGGGAGGTTAAAGCAGGAGGATCCTTGTGAGTTTGGGCTACAAGATGAGCTCAAGACCAGCCTGAACTGCATAGGGAGACCCTGTCTCAAAAAGACCCTCTTAAAAAAAGTTTAGAAAGGGCTGGAAGTGTAGTTCATTGCTTTAAACCCCCAGTACCACAAAATAAAAGCCCAATAAAATAAAAGGCACATTTTCTTAGAGCTACTGGGTATCTAGCCTGAGGAATAAAAATTTGAGGGACATAAAGGTAAAAAGCCACTGTTCAATTGAAGAACCAGACCTAGAATGTTGGCTGGGTAGGAGACGGCAGCTTCTGTTGTGTGCTGTGTTGGTTAACAGAATCAAGTGCTTATCAGGGAAGACATGTGATTTGAAAGTGATTTGAAACTTTTGTTTTTTTTTTTTTTTTGAGAAAAACCTCTTGCTATATAATTCACACTGGCATTGCGCTCATTGTATAGCCCAGTCTGGCCTTGAACTCCCAAAGATCCTCTGGCCTCATCCTTCTGCATGCTGCAATCACAGGTGTGTGTCACTGTGCTTAGCTACAAAGACATTTTATATTACCAGTCTTTATTGGATTCACTGGTATGTACTGTAGTGGGAATATTTTCTATTTTGTTTAATTGTGTCATTTAAGAAAAAGTTGTGACCTGTTGCATCTGATGATGAATTGCAGATGAATTATGTCTACCCATTTAAAAAGTGAACTAGAATATTTGCTTCTTTGTGCTGCTTTTAAGAGGCAACACTTTAAGAAAGTGCTTATTTTGTTTAGAGGCCTTGCTGCAAGTTGAGAATACAGACATTTGGATTGTATGTAGCTCAGTGGCAGTGCTTACCTGCCATGTGTGAGGCCTGGGTTCCATCTCTAGTACTGAGGGAAGAGACAAGACCTTGGCAAATGAGTGTGCAGAGTGAACTGGGTGGGAGAAGGGTGGAGTGGTGGTGAGAAATTGTAACAAATGAACAGTGGTGCTGAATGTTTATTTTGAAGCATAGCAGATGTATTTCAAAAGTTGGGGAGTTTGTGGTTTCCTTATGGAATGTGTAAAATAAATGAAGATTGTTTAAATCATGGGTACCCAACTCCTGCTTAGGACGTGGGCCACATAGCAGGAGGACAGCTGTGGGGCCATGAAGCTTTGTCTGTTTGCAGCCACTCTCCTTGTCAGGTCCACTGCAGCCTTAGATGCTCATTAGGAGCACGCACCCTACTGTGAGCTGTGCATGTGAGGAATCAGGTTCCCAGCTGCTTATGAGAATGTGATCCTGAAGCCATTCTATCTTACCCTGCCCTCCACCCTTTTGGCCAGAAAGTTGGGAGACTGCTGATCTAAACAACAGCCTGTGATAGTTTTGACGCTAGAAATAGTGCTATAGTAGTAATAGGGTAGCAGATTTCAGAGTTATAATATGGTTGGAGAATTGGCCTCATTTAGTTATGGAGTACTTGGCTTTAGGGCACTGGTTTCAAATTTTTTTTTTCCCCAAATCCATTTTATTTTAAGGATAAAAAGGAAGAAGAAGAGAAAAAACTACAACAAAATTTCAAAACAATTGGTGCATCAGTGGTACATACATTGTACATTGTCATCCCCAAATTGTTCTCCCAGAGCACAAGACATCTACATTAAGTTATCCAAATAATACCAGCACAATTCTTTCTTTTCAGTGAACTCAGAGAAATCAGTAGTATAACCGTCTTAACTATTTTTATATACATACACATACACATATGTTTTTCTTTCAGCTTTTCACACTAATGAAACATGTTTGCACATGTGTGTCTTATTCCATTAATAAGTATGTTCTCAAGTTGCATCTAATTATCTGTAAGTCTCCAGTCTATCCTTTTTTGTGGCTGCGTAGTACTCCATCATATAAAAATACCACATCTTTTTTATCCATTCCTCAGTCAGTAGGCATTTAGGTTGTTTCCAAGAGCTGGGTATTACAAACTGTGCTGCTATAAACACGGGTACACCTATGTTACAGTGGTATGATGTTTTTAATTCTTTTTGGAAGATGTCCAGAAAAGGAATAACAGGATCAAATGGGACTTAATCCTAGTTTCCTGAGGAATCTCCAGACTGACCTCCACAGTGGCTGCGCTAGTCTGCATTCCCAGTAACAGTGGAGAAGTGTTCCTTTTTCCCCACAGACACTCCAGCATTTGTTATTGCTTGATTTCTTGATAATATCCATTCTTTCTGGGATGAGGTGGAACCTCAGTGTTTTTTTAATTTGCATCTCTCCGGTGAGCAGAGATGTTGAACATTTTCCACATATATATTTGCTGTTTGTATTCCTTCATGAGAAGGGTATATTCATCTCAGATGCCTGTTTTGAATTGGGTCTTTAAATCTGGGAGGACTGAATTTTTTGTTTGAATTTTTTTTTTTTTTTGGTGCCAGGGGTGGAACTCACAACCTTGTGCTTGCCAGGTGGGCACTTATACCGCTGAGCTAAACCCCGTTTGAATTCGTGATAGTAATCCTTTGTCTGAGGAACAGCTGGCAAACATTTTTTTCCACGTTATGGGTTGTCTCTTCACTCTGTTGTTGGTGGTTTCTCTTGCTTTTCACTAGAGTGAGATCTCACTTGTTGATTCTTTGTGGTAGTTCCTGTGCAGTTAGGGTTTTGTTTGTAAAATCTTTGCTACACTGATGTTTTCAAGATATGTCCTATCTTCCAGCAGATTGAATGTTTCTGTTTTAAGATCTTTGATCTATTCTGATTTAACTTAGTTATGTGGTGAGAGAGATGGGTCCACTTTTAATCTTTTGCATGTGTGGAGCCAGTTTTTCCAGCATCATTTGTTAAAGAGGCCATCTTTCTTCCAATGAATGTGTTCAGCACCTTTGTCAAAGATAAGGTAACTTAGTATATCTGGAGTAGTTTCTGCATCTTCTAATCTGCTCCATTGGTCTTCAGGTCTGGGTGTTTTGTGTATGTGTGTGTGTGTGTGTGTGTGTGTGTGTGTGTACTGTACTGTTTTTATCATAGTAGCTTGAAAGTGTAATTTCAAGTCAGGGACTGTTTTGCCCCATGCCTGGCTTTGTTACTCACGATTGCTTTTGCTAGATCACTTCTGGATCCAGATGAATTTTAGGATTTTTTTTCCCTAGTTCTGTGAGATATGCTGTTGGAATTTTGATTGGGATTGCACTGAATCTGTGTAACAGTTTTGGAAGCATGGCCATTTTCACTATATTGGTTTTTCCAAACCAAGAGCCATTTCTCTCCATTTTCTAATAACCTCTTCAATCTCCCTTTTCAGAGTACTATAGTTTTTTTTTTTGTACCCGGGGTCGAACTCCTGACCGCCTGCTTGCAAGGCAGGTGCTTACGCTGCTGAGCTAAATCTCCAGCCCCAAGAGTACTATAGTTTTCAATGTAGAGGTCTTTTACTTCCTTTGTTAGATTGATTCCTAGGTATTTCATTTTTTGGATGCTGTTGTGAAAGGTGTTGTTTCCCTGATTTCTCACTCATTGAGTTTGTTATTCGTGAACAAGAAGACTATTGATTTTTGAGTGGTTGACTTCGTTTTTGTTTGTCTTTTTCCTTTTTATCAGTACTGGGGATCGAACCCCTTGCAAGGCAGGTGCTTATGCCGCTGAGCTAAATCTCCAGCCCCATGAGTGGTTGACTTTGTAACCAGCTACACTGATGAATTTGGTTATTAAATCTACTAGTTTTTTAGTGAAGTTTTTGGGGTCTTCTGTGTAGCGTATCATATTAACTGCAAATAACGATAGTTTAATTTTCTTTCCTATCTTTATTGCTTTTATTTCTCTGTTTTGTTAATTGTTCCTGCTAAAGTTTCCAGGACTATGGTGAATAAGAGTGAAGACAGTGGACATCTTGTCTTATTCCTGATTTTATAGTGAAAGCTTTTAATTTTTGTTCATTTAGTATGATGTTGGCTTTTGGCTTGTCCAAGATGGTTTTTATCAGATTGAGGTGAAGACCATCTATTCCAATTTTTTGTAGGGTTTTTATCATAAATGGGTGGTGAACTTTGTCAAAAGCTTTTTCTGCATCTATTGAGATGATCATATGATTTTTGTCGTTGGTTTTGTTAATATGGTGTATTGCCAAATTTTTTAGTCTCAGACTCCTTAGTATTCTTAAAAAAATTATTGTTATTATTTATTTATTTTTTTGGTGCCAGAGATCTCATGACCTTACACTTGCTAAGCAAATGCTTGTGCCGCTGAGGTAAACCCCTGGCCCCTCTTAAAAATTACTGAAGACCCTAAAGAACTGTAGTAGATGCTATATTTATCAACAAGTTATTCTACTAGAAATTAAAAGTAAGATGTTTAAAAACTCAGTAGAAATAATGCACTAGTTGCATGCATAAAATAAGATTTTGAATGAAAAATTGTTCCTAGTGCAAAAAAAATGAGGAAGATATTATTTTATACTTTAGTTTTTTCATTTTTTAGACAGATTCTCACTGTGTTGTACAGGCTACTCTTGAAATCACTGTGTTGCCCAGGCTGGGCTTCACCTTGCAATGATCCTCCTGCCTCAGTCTCCCAAGTGCTGGGATTATAGGCATGCGTCACCATGCTCAGCTAGAATTATTTTTAACTTCTGGTTTAAAAGAACTCAGTAGATAGATTCTCATACCTACTTTTATATTCAGCTTATCTTGAATTATCTTGGTTTGGTTAAATTATGTGAAAAAATTTAAGCAAAACTAGAAATATTTTATTTTACTTTTTCAGTACTAGGGATAAAACCCAGAACCTCATCCATGCTCTACCAACAAGGTACATTCCCAGCTTTCTTTTTGCCTCTTGTGCAGTATAAGCATGATCAAAGTCAGGCTTTTGCGCTCCAGAGGTGTCGGTGTCGCTCCCGGCCGGCAGGAAGAACACGCAACAATATCTGGCGGTGGTCAGGCTTTTCTTTATTCTCTCCTTATACAGTCTGCCCCAAAGCCTCTACCGGTCCGCTCTCCGCGGCTCCTTCCGTGCTTCTTTCTCTACAGTCTGTCCCGAAGCCTCTACCGGTCCGCTCTCCGCGGCTCCTTCCGTGCTTCTTCTCTACAGTCTGTCCCGAAGCCTCTACCGGTCCGCTCTCCGCGGCTCCTTCCGTGCTTCTTCTCTCGTGGCGGGAGAGGCACTCACTTTTATAGGGTCACAGTGGCCAATCAGTTCAAAGCGCGCGATGCGGGCTGATTGGCTAACATCAGTTGTTGCTAGGCAGACTATCTTACAGAGCGGGTTGTTTACCAAGCAGGAAGCAGGAGATAAGCGCCATCTTAGCACACTCGATGGGAGGGGTAATCTAGCTCAGGCTTTGCTCTTTCTTACAGGCCTCACGTCCGCCAAGTAAGGCGACCGGGCTCGGCCGCGGCTCCCAACACAGAGGCAAACACTTTTTTACTGAGTTACATCAGAATTTTTATTTTCTGTCGAAACAGGGCCTTGAATTTATCATCCTCTCTGCCTTAGTCTGTTGAGTAGGTGGAACTACAGGCAAAGAGTATTTTAATAGTCTTTCAGGTAGTCATGATTATTATCCTTTGCTATTGTATTTTAACTGTACAAGTGATAATTTATTTATGGTGTTAGGGCTTCTTGCATCCCCTCATCCTCCCTACATTTGGCTATTTCTTAGTGGTTACTGTTAGGCAGTTTAAAATTTGAAAACGTATTAATTTTTTTACCCTATTAAAATGTTTAACATTGAATGACTTGACTATTTTTGGTTTATTTGTTGTATTTTGAGACAGTAAGTCCCTAGCTTATAAATGAGTTCCATTTTGGGAGACTATTCTTAAGTTGGATTTGTTTGTAAGTCTGACAAAAAATCTTTGTACTTCCTAGCATCCCCTCCACATCATTGCTGCTTTTCCTTTTGCTTCTGGACGTCTGGAGCTCTTGATTGAGCACTGTACAATGAACACATAGCACACGATTGTGACAGTGTCCTGCAGACACATGAATTACTTCCACAGTTTGTTATTTGTTCACATCTACCAGTGTATGTGGTGTGAAGTCCGTTGGTATCTATGAAAGTTTACAACTCAGATGTTTTCAGGGACTTACTGTATAGCTGAGCCTGGCATTGAAACTCATAGTCTGCCTGCCTCAGCCTTCCAGATGCTGGGATTATAGGCATAAGTTGCTACACCTGCCTTTTGTTTTTGTTCCTTTTGATGTTTTTTTTTTTTTTTTTTTTTTGTTGGTACTGGGGATCTAACTTAGAACCTCATGCTTGTCAGGGGGTTATGCCGTTGAGCTAAATCCCTGGCCCTACACCTGCCTTTTGGTATTGTAACATTTTCAGGGGATTTTATCATTCATTATTTGGTTCATTGATCGTTTTTTTTTTTTTTTTTTTTTTAATGCTAGGGATAGAATATAGGCCCTGTACAAGGTAGGCAAGTGTTCACCTTTGAGGTACTTGGCCCACATTGTTCACTGGAAAATAATGATTTACTGAGTTGTATAGGTCTTCAAAATAGACATTTTATTGAACAGTCTGAAAAATAATACTCATTACTGTCACCACCCTCTTACCTTAGAATCTTGAAATACTGTAAAGCTGTAACATTTATAGTATGAGCTGTATTTTCCAGAATCCTCATATTTATTTGAAAGTTCAAATTTTATCGTTGGCAACAAATTATTTTCCTTGCAATAAATGTTTCACTAGTGCTTTTTTTTTGTACTGGGGATCAAACTCACTATTGCATGTTTGCAAGGCAGGCACTTATGCTGTTGAGCTAAATCCCCAGTCCTCGTTTTCTCAAAAAGAGAAAAATACCTGCAAAGTAACAAAGTTGAAATAATCAGTTTATCTTTTTTTTTTTTTTTAAAACTGAAAATGGTATTCCTTGAAAGAAGTGAGTAGTTGAGCCAGCAGCTAAGTGACAAAAGTGTACCGCAAAAGGCATGTAATCAGGTTGAGATCTTCCTGTTTTGGTTTTTTGAGTCAGGGTCTCACTGTATGTAGCCGGTTGGTTTCAAACTTGTGGCATTCTCCCTGCCTCAGCCGTTGAGTGCTAGGATTATAGGTGTATGTCACTATACCTGGCTAAGGGTTGAGATTTAATAAAGTAATTTTTGCTGCTTCATTAAGATTCTTTTTTTTATTTTTTTTAACATACTGGGAATTGAACTCAGAACCTTGTGCTTACCAGGCAGGTGCTGTGCCACTGAGCCATATCCTGGGCCCCATTAAGATATTCTTTTTTCTTTTTTTAGGGCTGGGATTGAACCCAGGGCCTTATGCACACCATAAGAAGCACTTTACCACCAAGCTGCATCTCATCTTTTTAAACTTTTATTTTGAGATAGGATCTTGCTGAATTACTCAAGCTAGCCTTGAACTTGCAGTCCTCCTGCCCTCAGCCTCCTAATTAGCTGGGATTATAGGCTTGGGCCACTCTGTTGCCAGACTAGTTTTTCTTAACTGTGATTCCATGCTGTTAACAAGCAAAATGATTTACTACCAGGGTACTAGCAATTTTCCATGTTGCTTTTATACCATCAGTATGTATTTTCTGAAAATAATTTTGATCTAGTAGACAAATAACACTGAGAGGTTGTTTCTTAAGGAGTTTTAAGAGTATACTTTTTTTTTTGGACCCAGGGATCGAATTCATGACCACACGCTTGCCAGGCAAGGGCTTAAGCCACTGAGCTAAATTCCTGGCCTCAAGACTATACTTTGAAAACCACTACTCCAGGATATTTGTCAAAGACCTCTTTAGGCCAAAGCTGATGTCCATTGGTCACAAATATTTAGATTGGGGGAAGTTAATTGTTGTAAAGGAAGGAAGGTTAAAGCTTATTATGTTCAGTAAAGACTTACCTGATTCTAGTGTTTTTAATTTTAATTTTTGTTAGTGCTCGTTTGTAGTACATAATGATTACATTCATCATCTAATTTTAGTTTTGTTTGTGGGCTGGAGATGGAGAAGTGCTAAGTGGCAGCGGAGATTGTATAAAACACTTCTCATTGTGTTTTCCCTTCCAGATTTAGTTGAGGCCATCCTGGGAAGTTGAGGGCTAGCCAGATTTCAGGGACTGGTGCAGCAGGCAAAGTGGCTGGTGTGCTTCTGCTAAGTGCAGCTTAGAAGTACACAGCAGAAGAGCCTTCTTTCTGTATACCTGATTAATTCAAATGCAGAGACTTAAGAAACAAGATAGATAAAATGTAACACAGGAAATTTAGAAACTGAAATCTACCAGCTAAGGATTCCATGGTTTTTAAGATGATCTTAAGGAAGTAGTGATACTTTTACAGGCAGTTAGTTATTGGTCATCAGGGCTCGATTGTGTGTGTAACTGCATTTCCTCTCTGTGGAGCTGTGTGTCAAAGATTACAAAATTGACAGCTTCAAACTCAACCTCACAGACAGGACGGGAGTGGTGTCTTTTGGAGTTAGGTATGCTGTAGCTGTGCTGTGTACACACAGTCTGTCTAGGAAGTAGATTATCAGTGTATCCTTAATGCGAACTCAACTGTCCGCTTGCAAGGCAGGCACTTATGTTGCTGAGCTAAATCCCCAGTCCCGGTTTTGTAGTTTCACAATGTCCTTATTTTGTTAAAGATTATTTCCTAACACAGAGGAAAAAATACTTTTACCCTTTTTGAGAGTTCTTTGTGGGGTGGAGGTTATTACTTGGCAGAAGAGAATGTTGTTGGAAGGCATCAGCTTGGTTGATTTTTCTTAATTGTAAGGTTTTACCTTGCTGCCTGATGATGACAGTCAGAAGTACAGATCTCCTGGAAGTACACCAGCCAGAGAGAAAGCAACACCCTTCTTGCCATCATATGTCTACCCAAATCAAACCCAAGAAAAGCTGCATTCTTCCAACATTTCATTCGATGAACAGAATAACTTGTGTAAAGCTACTCCTCATGATTTTGTTCCAGCTTCAAAAAGGTCTTCTCCCAATTTGTTTTTTGAGTCACAATATCAAGAAGCAATTGTGAAAAAATATGATTTGAAGGAAGACAACCCTATAGGTGAGTTCCTGGCATGTCTTCTGTTCTAACCTAACTACAAGCCATTATAAGACGAGCTGGTCTTTCTGTGTTTTTCCATTTCTCCATGGTCTTCATTGTAACATCCTTCATTCTTAAGTCTTGCATGGCTACTGAGCCTGGACCGAAACCATGGTTGTGCTCACATTTTGATGTTCCAAGAACAGTTGTGATGCTCATGCTGACTTTAGGTAGCATATTTTCTAATAAAGGGTGCATCACGTTACCATATACTATCCTGTTTTTTTTTGAGAGCTGAAACTCCTAGGCCCAAGGGATTCCGGGCCTTTGGCTCCCAAGTATCTGTGACAATAGATACGTACCACCATCCCTGGTTATGTAGTCTTTGTAAAGAAAAATTTTTTTTGAGTCTTAGTTCCTTTTTCCCTTCCTCTTCCTTTACATTGTTGTATTCATGTTGTACAATGGTATTTTGTTCTTTTACTCAGTATGGAAATTTCTTGCAATATTCTATGTGTTTTATATATTAATTAATCATATATATAACCATATTATAAAACTTGCCCTCAATATGCTAACCTTCAAATAATGTATCAGTGTTAATATTCTTTTTTTTTTTTTTTGATACTGGGGATTGAACTCATGACCTCACACTTGCCTAGCAGGACTTATGCCGCTGAGCTAAATCCCCTGCCCCAGTGCCCCAGTGTTTAATATTCTTTGTGCTAGGTCAGTGTTTTTAAAGTTTAATTTTAGTGTGTCATCATGTTGCTTTTGAGTTATGTTACAGAAAAATACAAATAATGTAACAAAAGGTATCTCTAGTTTTCATTTATGATGGAATACCTTTGTATTTTATTTCTAACTTAGAGGAATCTGTCTACATGGAAAACTTTTGTCTTTTTTTAAAAATTTTTATCGGTACCAGGGATCGAACTCAGGACTGCTTGCTTGCAAGGCAGGCGCTTATGCTGCTGAGCTAAATCCCCAGCCCCGTTTGTCTTCTTTTTAAAACAACATAGTTCTTTAAAGTATTTTCTCAACTCTTTAATTAAAAATACTGTGCAGTGATCATGTTACTTCATTTCAAGTATTTTAGCATATATAAAGAAAAATTAGAACATTACTACTTATAGCCAGAACACCATTATTATAACTAAGGGAATTAATAATTAATATTCAGATCTATTTGGAACTTCCATTTTAACAGAAATGTCTTCTAAATATTTTTAAAAATATTTTTTGGTGCTGGGGATTTAGCTCAGTGGCATAAGCATCTGCCTTGCAAGCAGAAGGTCGTGAGTTCGATCCCTGGTACCAATTAAAAAAGAATACATATATATATTTACCAAAGATTGATAAGTACAAACTATATATATATATATATATAGTTTAAAATTTTAAAAAGCATGATAACTTATAAAATTTTCATATTTTAATCTACTTTTCAAAAAACTAAATTGTTCCTAATTTTTATCCTAGGAGAAAGTATTTTACCACTGGAGAAAACGACAGAACAGATTCAGGAAAGGAATGATACTAACTTAAAAAAAATTGGTGATTCCTCAGAAGTGGTTAATATTGAAGAACGGTATTGTTGTGACCTGTATTTTTCTTGTTTTCACTTGAATGTGCATCTTAAGTATAAGATTGTTAATAAAACCCCTGTCATATGCTGTCAGTATCAGAAAAAGGTTAGGAGATGGATCAGTTCAATAGCTCTGACACTATATTAGAAGCACTAAGCAAACTTTCTCACTTAGGAGAAACATCAAGGTAAGATTGATCTCTTTTATGGTTAAAATTTGTTGTGGAGAAGAGAAATAATAGATATTAGAATCTCACATTTGGTGTCACTTATAAATTACAATTTCATTATTTAAGTAATAGAAATGAGTTACAGCAAAGGTGAGTGTCTGTCTTATGTTTTAAATACATTTATTAACGGGCTGGGGATTTAGCTCAGTGGCATAAGTGCCTGCTTAGCAAGCACACAGTCATGAGTTCGCCCACCATTACTGATTTTAAAAAAAAAGGCTTATTATTTCCCTAAGTATTTGAAATATTATATGTCATAGTATAAGTAAAATGACTTTTGATTGTGACTTTACTTAAATTGTTAAGGATCTTTCTTAATTTAAAAAAATAGATATGTATTTTGGTGGTGTAGAAATGATCAAAGTAGGTTACATAAATGTATGAATATGCCAAAATGAAATTCCCAGGTTGTGTAACTAATATGTCCAAATTAAAAAGGCTCTGGGTTTAATTTTTAATACTGATAAAAGTGCCCCAAATCATGTACAGAGAGTTACATATTTATGTATTTTGTGAGGTTGTGGGGATTATAGCTTTCATTAGATTCTCAAAAGAGAATATAAAAAGGAGGTCCTTGACTTTGAGTTTTTTACATTTTGTCTTGATGCTGTGGATCAAACCCAGGGTCCTGTAAATGCTAAGTGCACATTCTGTCATTGAGCTATACCCCAGACTTTGTCCCTTAACTTTCAAAAAGGTTAGTTCTTCATGTTATTAGGGGTATTTGAGTAATACTGAGTGTAAAATATCCACACTTAGAGTTTCACATCAAATTTTTTTTTATGTTAGACCTATTAAAGCTGTCATTAGAGAAAGGAAACAGACATTTGAAGACTACTTAGAAGAACAAATTCAGTTGGATGAACAAGCACTTAAACAAAAACAGCTCAGGGTAAGTGTTTGAATGGTTTTGATTAAATTATTCTAAAGTTGTATATAGTTATAATTAGCTTCAAAAGTAACTTTGAGATTACATTGATATACCAGAATTAATTCAAATATTGTTCTTTTACTTTAGGAAGCAGAGGGACAATTGAAAGCAAAACCCAAACAACCATTCTTAAAACGAGGAGAAGGTTTAGCTAGGTTTATTAACAATAAATCTAAGCTTCAAAAAGGGAAAGAAAGTAAATTAGGAACTAATCAGAATGCCTTAGAGGATCAATCTCTGTTTAAAGTAGATAGACAGCTATTCCAGCGGAAAACTGCGCTTATAAATAAAGAACCGTGTTCAGAGAACTGTACTGTTAAAAAGGAGAATAAAACTAGAACCAAGTTCGGTTCTGTCACACACAATCAGAAGCCAAAAGTGCCTAAGAGCAATAGTAGAAAAAATGTCTCTCCATCAGGATCGAAAATACAGACAGAGAAGAAATGTAACGGACAATTTAGAGAGCAGATCAAGTTAGAAAAAAAAGTTGACTCTAACAAAGAAAATGTACCAGAGTGCACAAAGCCCTGTGATGCTGGTTGCAGTGTGTGGAACAAGACGCGGGGGAAAGACAGACCATGTCTACCAACTGGGCCTGTTGGCTGTTTGGCTTCTAAGAGTCCCACAAGTGAGACTGGGAAGGAGCTGGTCTCTTCTTTTGACATTTCTTTTCAGAAAAAATTAGAGAATTGGGAACAAGAAAAGGAAAAAGAAAATTTGGAGTTAGATGAATTTTTATTTTTAGAAAAAGCTGCTGAGGAAATTTCATTTTCTAGTAATTCCTCATTTGTACTGAAAATCTTAGAAAGGGATCAGCAGGCCCACAAAGGTCACCGGATGTCTTCAACCCCTGTCAAAGCTGTGCAGCAGGAGACACATCTGGTGGATCTCAGTGCTAAGCGTGACTGCAATGAGGATCCAGACCCCAGCCCTGCCTGTGAAAATAAGAGTGAGTGTGAGGTCAGAGCTGGACCACTGGCCTCTGCATCCTTACCTGATGAATTGAAGGAACTGTCTTGCAAAATCAATGGCAAAACCTTCCAAACAGGCTCTTGTGAAGGTCAAATGCTGTGGAATGTGAGTGATGGTGAAAGTGTTAGGAATAGTGACAGCAGCACTGACTCTGAGGAGCAGCTTGATGTTACCATAAAGCCACCCATGGAGGACAGAGAGGGAGGTTTCATCAGTAAAGAGGATAGTCCTCAGATCTGTCATGGCAAGGGACCTTTCAGGGACACCAGAACTCAAGATAATAGGAGAGATGTTGACCTGGACTTATCTGATAAAGATTATAGCAGCGATGAGTCTGTTGTAACAGAAGGCATGAAAACAAAAGTGTCTGAACCTTCAAGAAGACCCTTGTTGCCAAGTGTGAGTCAGATTGACTTTGATGATGAAAGATCTTGGACTGACCCCGAAGAGAATTCATGTAAAAATGATGTTAATCTTGGGGATGAAGTCTTTTATGGGGTACCCCACGTAGGCTATTCTAACAGTGGTGTCTGTTTCTTGGATAAAACAATAAAAAGGAAAGTTGTTCCAGTCATGAAAGGAGAAGTCCTAAGCCAGGCTAACAGGAGCACAAGTCCCCCTCCCACATCAGATCTGATGATGCAATTCTTCCCTTCTTTGAAACTGCAATCAGAATCAGATTCACACTTGGGAAATGAGCCCAAGTTAAATATGAGCCAAGACCAACCATCTGGTGAGTCAGCGCATAAAATACTATTAGAATGTTACAAATTTAACATTTTACCAGGGTGTTGTCAGAGTGTTTAAATTCTAACATTGTTGCTCAGTAGAAATTAAATTTGTGGGTGACTTGTAAAAATTTATAAAGAGATGCAAATGAACTGTTCTGTGAGATTCCTTTTTTCCTTTATCTTGGTGGTACTTGGGACTGAATCCAGGACCTCATTGATAGTAAGGAAGTACATTTTCTACTGAGTTACATTCCCAACCCTTGGCTTGTTGTCTGGCTTCTTTCCTTTTCTTTTTTTCTCCCTTCTTTTTTTTTTCTTTAGTTCTGGGGATTGAAGAGGACCTTTGCCCTGAGCTACATCCCCAGTTTTAATTTTTAAATTTAAGACAAGGTTGCTAAATCTCTTAAGTTGCCCAGGCTGAGTTTGAATGAAGCCATCCTCCTGTCTCAACTTCCCAGAATGCTGGGATTTCAGGTGTTCACCACCATACCTATCTGTTTCAAGTCTTTACCACTTCATGCATTAATTTATCAAACCTGAGCAAGAAGGCAGACTGGACAGTTGTTTCCTTTATTCCCAGCAGCAATAGTATTGAGCCCTATAAATACTATATACAATTTTCACTTAAAGGGAAGCAGTTTGTGGCTTCTCTATGGTATATTCAGATTAGCAGCACTACTGCCTTGTGCTCTGAGGTCATTATTAAGGAAAATAAGGGTTATTTCAACATAAGCATTGCGATGCCATAAGTCAGTCTAATAATTAGATGGCCACAAAGTGATTCATGGGTGGGCAGTGTGGTGGACAGAGGGATGACTCACGTGCCAGGTGGGATTAAAACTTGTTGATTTCTGGAGTTTTCCACTTAATATTTTTGCTCTGTGCTTGACTGTAACTGAAACTGAGGAATGCGGAGCTGATAAGGGGACTACTGTAAAAACAACTTTGTCTTTCACTAGCCCTAGTTGTAGGCCCTTTCCTACTGGTAGCAGTATTACCATTTTATTTGTGTATTCTGAATGAATCACTCATGTTAAATATGTGTGAGTGTATGTTTAATTCTTTCCTACACAGATGAAAACATTTTTACACACTGTCCTGTACCTTGTTTATGATAGTTTGATTGTTCTAACATATGCATATCAGTCTCCTGTTAATGGCCGTGTTAATACGCTGACCTTTACAAGCTTCTATTGAGAAACTCCTTTCTATTTTATTGTATTACAGGCTCTCAATTTCTAGTAGAGCATTAAGTGCTTTAAAATATAAATTATGATTTATTTAAAAAACAAATTTTGGCCAGGGATATAGTTCAGTGGCACAGCGCCTGCCTGGCAAACGCAAGGTTCTGAGTTGGATTTCTGGTACCCCCCCAAATCTGATTGTAAATATAATATTTTTTGCATGAAGCTTAGGCTCTTAAAAAGTAAAGAAATGGGTGTGGGGATTTAGCTCTGTGGCATAAGCATCTGTCTGGCAAGCGCAAGTTCATGAATTCTATTCCCTGGCACCAGAAAAAAAAAATAAAGAAGCAAAAATATTCGTAACTAAATTTTCTAAAGGTAACTACTCTACCATTTTTGGGTATTTCCTTTCAGTCATTTTTCCTATGTATTTGTAACATGATGGAGATACGTGGATAAACTAGCCTCATCCTGTTAGTATTGTGTTTTACAACAAGGTAGTACCACATTAAAATGCTTGTTTCTGAATGACAGTAACATTGCCTACAGTTTTAAAGAACAAATTAGATCTAGGAAACAAATTACAATGTACATTTCTTTGATTAGTTATATGGGGGTAGGAACTTTCATTTTGGTGTTAGCTGGCCCTTTGAGATACCTGGTGAGTTTTATTTATTTACTTATGGAACTAGATTTTTGTGCCCAGGACTTTGGCACTGAGCTTTATCCACAGCCTTTTTTTTTTTTTGTATCAGTGATTGAACTCACGACTTTGTGCTTGCCAGGCAGGTGCTTATGCCACTGAGCTAAATCCCTCACAGTCCTTTCAAAAATATGTATTATTTTTATTTTGTAACAGAGTCTTGCTAAGTCTCTATTTTGCCCAGGCTGGGCTTGAACTTTAGATCCTCTTGCCTCAGCCTTCCTGAGTGCTGAGATTACAGGTATGCATCACCACATTCAGCTTTTTTTGGTCTTTAAAATACTGATTTGCATGATTTCCTTTTATCTGTAATGTTGATTTTTTTTGTCAAATTGATACTTTTGAATTAGTTCTTCAAAATTAGACTAGTTTCATTTTTTCTTTTTCTTTTTGGTATTTCATAATGTACCATGATGACCCAGGGGTTTCCATATTCTTGGTTCTTAGTAGTAGGAACTGGCTAGTGTTTTGGCTGCTATAAGACTTGTTTTGAATTTCAGCATCTGTGACCTGTTTTGTAGGTGATAATGCTCGATCCCAGGCTTTGCGAGAGAAAGTTGTTGAATTGGATACAGAAATAGAAAAATTTAAAGCTGAGAATGCATCATTGGCTAAACTTCGCATGGAACAAGAAAGTGCCATGGAGAAGCTCAGGTAAGTTTGTGTCGTGAGATGAGAAAAATTATTCCTGAAGATGGTATGTAAAGTACGTGAAACATAGATTAGTTCAGCAAATAGAACTGCAAAGGAGGTGGAATCTGTATCCTTTTAAGATTTTTTTTATGAAGTAAAATGTAGTCAGGATTGTTGAAATGGAATCTTCTTGATGGGAGGATCATAAATTGAAATTTGAAAATGGTTTGAGCCTGGGCACGTGGCACATGCCCGTAACCCTAGTACCCTGGGAGTCTGAGGCAGGAGGAACTTGAGTTGGAGACTGTCCTTCCTCTGAGAAAAGGAAAGAAAGGCAGTTTGGAGCCATGAATTCCAGTGGTAACTTGACTAGTGCATTAGCTTCTTAGGGCTGCTGTGACAAAGTCTTTCAAACTGGGTAGCCTAAACCAAAAGAAATTTATTTTCTCATGGTTTTAAATGCTGAAAGTCCAACATGAAAGCATTAGCCAGGCCTTATGTCTTTAAAAAAAATTTTTTTTTATTATTTTGAAGTTAATGAAATACAACAGAACAAGATAGAACAAAGCCAATTGAGACAGTGCAGTGAAATTGATACAGAATGTCACAGCAGGTTACCAGGATAACAGTAATAGGTGCCATAGTATATTGTTATTTTCACAATAGTTGTTCTTTTAATCAGGTATAGCAAAATCAAATCAAAGAACATTATAGAACTTATCAAAATAGAATATTGAATAGAGCAATACAGTTAATCAGAACAAAGCAAAACAGTGATAAAAATATTTGCCTTCAAAGAGATGGTAGAAGAAAATCCTCCTATTTGCTATATTGCATATGGTCAACCTCCCAAGAGATGTTCAGCTCTCTGGCTCTCATTTGCTAAGGTTGGGGGTATGGGATATTTGATTCTCAGCCCACAGGCTCATGGCTGCTAACCAGGAGGCGAGCAGGTTGTTTGGTTTCCCAGCACCCTAAGTTCCATCATGATGGATCTCAGGAGATGCTGGCTGATTATCTCTTTGGGGCGGCTGCCGCTTGCCTGAGCCACAGCTGCTTACACTAGGAAGGTGAGTGGGTTGCTTGGTTTCCCTGCATTCTAAGTTCCAACATGGTGAGGATCTTGGGAGATGCTGGCTGGTTCTCTCCCTGGGGTGCAGGCCACATGTCTTATGTGGTATCTTAGTTGCTGGCTTACAGTTGCACCATGCCAGTCTCTGCCTGTGGTTTTTTTCTTGGTGTCTGTGTCTTCTGGTAGCATTTCTGGTATGCATGTATGTGTGTATCTCATCCTGTCTGTCTCTTCTCCTTTTTTTTTTGTCACTTTGTTCACTTTGTAGCCTCGGCTGGTTTTGAATCTGCCAGTGATCCTCCTGCTTTAGCCTGCAGAGTGCTGGGATTACAGGCATGTGCCACCATACCCAGCTTTCCTTTTTCCCCAAGTCTAGAGATTGAACCCAGGGCCTTCACACTGAGTGACAGCTTTGGCACTTTCTGTTTTTTGAGACAAGGTGGTACTGGTTGCACAGGCTGGGCTCACACTTGCAATCTTTCCTCTGCCTCTTAAAGTGTGGGAATCACAGGCATGTGCTACCACACCCAGCCCCATATATCTTTGAATTGTGCTTACTGTTCATAGTAATAGGTTGGATTGCAGAAACACTGTTGTGTTTGATTCCAGACTGCTGCCTAGTTCTTGCTGGGGGGTATTATATATGACATGTATGCTGTATTTCTTCTTTATTTTTTCTATTGAAACGAGATAAAATCCATACAATTTAAAATCTTTTTTCCTCCCACTTTTTGTGGTGCTGGGGATTGAACCCAGGGTTTTGTGCTGGCTAAGGATGTACTATGGTAGAGCTCAGTGGTACTGGTCCATAAGTAATCATTTTAAAGTTTAGTGGATTTACAATAGTGTGCAACTACCACCTCTCCATGTTTTCAAAAACCCCAAATGGATATCCCATATCCATTAGTCATTTCCCATTTGTCTTTCCCTGCTTCCTGGCAACCACTGATCTCTGCCTTTTGATTCTATAGAGTTACATAGTCTGTATATTTCATTTAAAATGAATTTTAACATGTGATCTTTTATGTCTGGCTTCTTTCACTTCACATGTTTTCAAGGTTCATATATATTTTAGTATGTGTCTGTATTCAGTACTTTAATGGTTGGATGATACTCTACTTGTGTGACTTCACAATACCTTGTTTGTTTATTGTCTACCATCTCTTGATGGTCACTGGGCTGTTGGTATCTTTGGGAATGATCAACATTGATGTACAAATATCTGTTGCATTTTTTTTTTTTTTTTTTTTTTTTTGGTCTTTTTCGTTTTTATCGGTACCAGGGATCGAACTCACGACTACCTGCTTGCAAGGCAGGCGCTTATGCCGCTGAGCTAAATCCCCAGCCCCCTGTTGCATTTTTTTAATTCTTTTTTTTTTCTTTGGTATTGGGAATTGAACTCAGGACTTCGTATTTGCCAGGCAGGAGCTGTGCCAGCCCTTTTTAAACAGAGCCGAGTGTGGTGGTGCACTCTTGTAATCCCAGCCCTCGGGAGCCTGAGGCAGGTGTATCTTTGCAAGTTCAAGACCAGCCCAGGGTACAAAGTGAGCCCAAGGCCATCCTAAACTGCATGGTGAGATCCTGTCTCAAAAAGACAAAAACAAAAACAAAACCCCTCCCCCCAAAACCCTCTTATATTAATTCTTTTTTTTTTTTTTTTGTCTTTTTCCTTTTCATCAGTACCAGGGATCGAACTCATGACTACCTGCTTGCAAGGCAGGTGCTTATGCCGCTGAGCTAAATCCCCAGCCCCTTAACAGATACATTAATTCTTTTGGTGATGTATCCAGAGATGAAATTGCTGGATCGTATGGTAATTTATTTGATTTATAGATGTAATTTTTGAGGAACTACATATTATTTTTCATAAGCCATGCACAGAGGTTCTAGTATTTTCATGTCTTTTTCTCTTGGATGTGTGATAGTAGTCTTTTTAAATATGGCATTTATATGTAAATATCCATTAATTTTTTTTGCTGTTATCTCATAAGTCTGGGTATGTTATTTTCATTTCACTCATCTCCAAGTATTTTTTGAATCTCTTAATGATTTTCTTTGACCCATTAAATGTTTAAGAATGTATTATGCACCAGGCATTGTGGCACACACCTGTAATCCCAGCAGGAGGCAGGAGATCCTTGTGAGTTTGAGACCAGCCTAGGCTCCAAAGTGAGCTCAAGGACATCATGAACTGCATAGTGAGACCCTGTCTCAAAAAGATTAAAAAAATAGTAATAATGTATAATGTATTTCCCATGTATTTGGTGTTTTTCAGTTTTACTTCTGTCATTGATTTCTAGCTTTGTTCCATTTTGGTTGGAGAAGGTACTTTGGTCAAAGGTACTTTGTATTATTGAGAATTATTTTTAGGCTGATTATCTTGGTAGGAGTATTCCATGTGTACTTGAGACAAATGTTCATTCTTAAGCAGTTGGGTAGAGTATTCCTTTTATGCTTGCTAGGGCTAATGGATGTATGGTATTGTTCAAGTGCTTTATGTCCTTGTTGATTTTTTTGTCTAGGTGTTCTTTTTCTTCGTCTTTCTCGTTTTTATTGGTACCAGGGATTGAACTCACAACTGCCTGCTTGCAAGGCAGGTGCTTATGCTGCTGAGCTAAATCCCCAGCCCCATTGTCTAGATGTTCTGTTAACAAAATTAAGATTATTGAAGTCTTCAAATACATTGAAGAACAAGTCTTTTTCCCTTTAATTCTGTGCGTTTGCTTTGTTTAGTTTTGAAGGTCTGTTGTTTATTCACTGTTTTGTTTTGTTTTGTTTTGTTTATCGGTACCGGGGATCGAGCTCATGACTGCCTGCTTGGAAGGCAGGCGCTTATGCCACTGAGCTAAATCCCCAGCCCATGGTCTGTTGTTTATAATTGTTACATTTACTTAATGAATTTAACTTAAATCAGTATATAATACCCAATTTTTGACTTAAAACCTACTGGCTCTGCCCACTCCCTCCTTTGGGTTATTACAGTTGCAGATTATATTTTAGTTATTATGTGCTCATTAATATAAGGTTATGGTATTACCCGTACGAGGTTGTGGTTCAGAATTTGTGGCCTCAGTCTTTGCTGACTTTTCCTTAGAACCTAACTAATAATTGTTTTCAGAACCTCTGGGACTTTGTGGAAACTGCAGATATCCTCTGTAGTTGTTTTTTTGGCAGAAGGTTTGCAAGCCAATCTGATAGTATTACTTAGTTCTCCTTATTTCTGATTGACTGCTCACCCATAAGCCTTCTGCAGATGCATCAGCATCCTTGTATCATAACAGTTTCCTGTATTACGTGTGTTCTTTTTTATTCTTTTTTATTTCTAACTAAGATCCCTAAGATGCCATGAAAATGCCTTGTACCTCCTAAGTCTTTATTAATATAGTATTTTATTAAATTATATAAATTAGTAAAATAATAATTAAATGACAGCATATTTATGGTTTAGACTATATAAATAGGCATTATAGGCATTTTTATGACTGTTCCTGAAATTCTTCCACTGTTCTAACCACTGTAAATTTGGGGGTGTCCATTGTATAATTACTGTATTATATTGGGGGTTCACTGTATAATTATTGCATTATATTAATTACTCCTAGTTATTGTATGGGTATAATTAAGAATTAAAAGAGGAGTTACTATCATGTACGGAAGCATGCTTTTTTTTTTTCTTCTGTACTGGGTATTAATCATGGCATTATGTGTGGTAGATAAGTATTCTACCACTGAGCTATACCCCTCAGCCCTAGCCCTAGCCCTAGCCCGCCCATGCTCTCTCTCTCTCTCTCTCTCTCTCTCATTTTTCTGATGTTGCTTTTAAGACTGTGTCTTTTAACATTTAGGTCATTTTGTGGATCTTTTGAAGTTTATTTTATTTGGAGTCCTTGAGGCACATGGATCTGTTACTCATGGTTTTCATAAGTTTGGAATGTTTTTAGCCTTTGTTTCTTCCCATATTTTTTCGTCTCCTTCTCTCTCCCCTGGGAATGTGGTGATGTGTGTAGCTGTAACCTTGCAGCACCTCAGGTTCTTAGGGTCTGGTTAGCTCTTCAGTTTGGTCTTTGTGCTAATCAGACCGAGTGATTGCATTTGCTATCTTGAAGGCCCTGCTGCTGAATCCCTCTAGGGAATTCTTATTCCAGCTGTAGTCATTTTAGTCCCAGAATTTCTGTGTGGTACCCTTTTACAATTTCTATTTCATTATTGAAGTCTGCCCTTGTTTGTGTATCATTCTCCATGCTTCCTTTAATTCTTTGTGCTTTCATTTAGTTCTTTGAGCATATTTGACACAGTTAATTTAAAGTAGTATTAAGGTCCCATGTCTGCTTTTCTTTTCCTCAGTGATGGTTTGTGTCAGTCTCTCTTTTTTGCTGTACGTAGACCATATTTTCCTGTTTCTATGGATGGTTTGACATTTCTTGCTAAAACCAAACATTTGGAGTGTTGCCACGTGATAACTGTGAATCAGATTGTCCTGTCACCCTAGGATTGTTTTTATTACACTTTGAGAGCTGCAATTGTCCATTTGTGGCTTTTTCCAGTGGCTTTTGCAGATTGTACTTGTCATGTGTAGTCACTAAGTGTATTTTGTTATCTCCACACCAGCCAACAACTTGACACTTTCTTAAATGCTTGGATCTATGAAAAAAAAAAAGAAAGTAAGGGTTTTGTTCCTAAATTATCTTCACAGGCACCTCTGGAAGGAGATTTGCAGTAGCATTTGGCCTGTGTGCTAGGGAGTGTGGTGTTTCAGGACATGTGTAGCCCAGTGCTGGGCCTACCTTGACCCTGTGTGGTGCACAGGATGGAGGCCATGGTCCTGCTGGCTGCCTGCTATATGGCTGGGAACTGAGGGAAGGTAGCTGCTCCTATGTAAATGCCAGAAGTCACCTCCATTTCTCAGCCTCTTCCTTTCTCCAGCATTCGCAGTGTTGCAAGCTTTCCTTAAGACAGACTGCAGTTTCAGAGCATTGATTCTGACAGCCTGCCGGCTTGGTAGTTGTTTGAGTGGAAGGACAGATTTCTGAAGGTTCCTGTGTCACCCTTCTCCTCATAGCACTGCTATATTTCTTTTCTAAAACATAAAAAGTTGTGAATTCTAAAACGTATCTGGAACCGGATAATCCAGATAAAGAATCGCAGTCTGGTAATCCATTAATAAAGGAAATCAGTTACTGTGTTTGTATTCCAGTTGTGTTTAAAAATTGAATTCTGAAGAATAATTGTTATTTTAAAAATAAATATTTTTGCTTTTCAAGCTATATATTGTAAAAATGGGTTTAATATAAACAATAATGACTGATAAAAAGTGAAAATTTATTTAAAAACTCATTGGTAACCTTTTAAATGCTCTACTGTAAAATTGTATATAATTTTTTTTTGTTTTTGAGAGTGCTGAGACAAGTTTGTGCTACCATACCCTGCTATATTTTTTCTTATAAAGAACATTTAAATCATAATAAATATTTTTTAAAGACTTTCACTGTGCCAAGTTCTGTCCATAGCCACACCCAAATCTTGAAAGTAGGGATTATGTAAGCCTTTTCATTTTACAGAGAGCCACTGGGGAATTAAGAAAGTTGTCCAAGTTCACACCTTTAGTAAATGACAGCCATAGTTCCAGCCCAGCACTGGGCTGCAGGCCCTACCTTCTGTTATATGTCTCATTCCTTAATCTACTAAGTTTAATTGAACAATGTACTAAACTTCTTATTGTATTAGTGCACCCTAGAATTCTGTGTCCTTGAGATGACTGTATCTTATGAGTGCTGCTGTAAACTTTTCAGCCAGTCTTTTGGTGGGAGTTAGCTCTTATAAATGTCCTGCTGAGAATATCGTAGAGGTTAGACTCCATTTAGGGAAGATAAACAAACACCTTCCTCACAATGAATTTCAAGATGTTCTTGCTGCCTTAGTCTGTAGCTGAGGTTCCTTCTCATCTGCTTTCCCCATCACTGGAGTTGAACATTCACAGTCTTTAAATGCTTGCCAACCTGCTAATCATTTCAAATTTTTTCTTAAAAATTACATTTATTTAATTATTGATAAAGTTGAGTGTACTTTTATGTTTAATGGTCATACGTTATAAATTCCTTTGTGACCTTTGCTCATTTTTTTAGTGGTTTTGTCTTACTTATTGCAAGATTTTTATGTACATTTATTGATGATGTTAAAGCTTTATCAGATGTCCTAGGGGCTGGGGATTTAGCTCAGTGGCATAAGCGCCTGTCTTGCAAGCAGGCAGTCATGAGTTCGATCCCTGGTACTGATAAAAACGAAAAAGACAAAAAAAAAAAAAAAAAAAAAAAAAGCTTTATCAGATGTCCTCAGTTTTTGCCTTTGTATGTTGTAGAGCTTGTGAACATTTTGTCAAATGTGAATTTTTTTTGTGCTAAGCATTGTACCTAGTATGTACTGCACACATGCTAGACAGGCTAGACCACTGAGCTTCCCCACAGTCCCCTTAAGTATCTTTTCTGTTTTGTTTTTGTGTTAGGAATTGAACTGAGGTGTAAGCATGTATCAGTGAGCTACTTCCCAGCCATATTCTCCTTACCATTTATTCCATCTGTATGCCATGCTGCAAATGAAATTTCTAGCCTACATTCACTGTCCAGCTGCCGAGTCAAGTCTCTCTGCTGAGGGAGCTGATAAATATTTCAAATTTTATTATAAAAATTTATTATAAAAATTAGCCTCTGGTTTTCCTTTGCAAAGTTATTTCACAGTTTTCCCTCTCTCAGCAAACTTCAAGACTGTTCTTCCTTTTGCTAGGACAGAAAATCTGGAGTCATCCTTCAGTCTTTCGTTGCTGTCTCACTTCCTTTATAACTGATCACTTCATGCTATGTCCAGAGGCGCCATTCTGTACCAGATCCTCAACCTCTGCCCTTGTGATGATATATGCTTTTTAACTGTCTCTCTGCTGGTCTTTCCTGTTTTTTCCCTGTTCTCCGCCTGGCATCTGGTGCTCCTTGGGTAAGACAGCTTGTCAGATCAGCCTTCTGTAGATGCCAGCATCTTCCCAAGCTCTCTTAAGATCTGTGTTAATCTGGCCTATGTATATGTGTATATGCATACACTTTTTAAGCCTTATTTTTTGTTATGTTATGCTGTGTTATTTTTTTGATCCCGAGGATTGAACTCATAACCTAACACTTGCCAGGCAAGCACTTGTGCCACTGAGCCAAAACCCAGCCTTAGCTAACCCTCCTTATTTTTTGACATTGTCTCCTACCATCCATCCTTTGCTCAGTCTATTTTAGCCACACTGGTCCCCCGACTGTTCTCTGAGGCCCCCAGGCTGATTCCTGCCACTGGGCTTTGGCACTTGGTGTTCCATCCGCAGGGTTTGTCCAAACAATCTCATGGCTTCTTCTCACTTCCACCTAGTTTTACTTCTGGATTGTCCCAGAAGATAATTTCATCTAGATTTTCAACCTCTCACTCTCATATTTCCTGACCTCCTTTCTTTATTTGCCTTCTTAGTGCTTTAGTATTCTGGTTTGTTTTTTTTTTTCTTTCTTTATTTTTTTTTACTCAGTACTGGGGGTCAAACTCACGACCACGCGCTTGCAAGGCAGGTGCTTATGCCGCTGAGCTAAATCCCCAGCCCCATCTGGTTTGTTCTTATGGTTTTGTCACTTCCACTGGAATGTAAGAAGCTTCACAAGAGTAAGGATTTCTGTTCTTTTCTCTCTGATTTCACACTGCTTATTAGTGTGTGTGCTTCATAGCAGATCCTCAGTAGATGCTTATTGGGTGTCTGACTGGAAGTGGTTGGCCAGAATTTCAGGCTTGTGGTTCACTAGAACCAGTAAGTCCTAGACTAGCACTGTCTTTATTTTGGTGCACATGTGGATTAATATATTTGAGGTGTTCCCCTAAGTAACATAATTTGGTCGTTGTAGGAAAGAAACTGCAGACTTTGAGCAACAGAAAGTAAAAGAATTGGCTCGGATAGAAGATTTGAAAAAAGAAGAAATGAGGAAGCTACAAAAGGAGCGTAAAGTTTTTGAAAAGTATGCGACAGCTGCAAGAACTTTCCCAGATAAAAAAGAACGTGAAGAAATACAGGTATGCTGTGTATTTATAAGTTAGTAGAAAGGCGAAAATCTTGTGAAAATCTTGTTAGAATTATTTGATAATCAAAGAGATTGGTATTAATCCATTCAAAAAATAATCTGTCAGAGACAGTACAGCAGGGACATCTCTTACAGCATGACTTCTAAGTAGTGCAATGTGTGTGTTCTGAGGTACACTAAAGGCTTTCCAAAGAGACCACAGACAAACTAGCATACCAGGAGTTGAAAGTTTACCATGCAGTGTTGTGTTAGTTTTTTAACTATTCTGTTTATTTATAATAATATGAGGCCCCTATCCTAGTGAGATGTTTAATTCTGAAATTTTTAAATTTATAGGCCAAATTATCAGTCTTGTTTTATTTCAGAGTTAGACATGGACATGATTGAAGGAAAGAACTAACACATTTCTTACTAAAACCTAGAAAAACAATACAGATAAGGACTTTTTTTTGAGACAGAGTCTCATTAGGTAATTCAGGCTGGCCTTGAACTCATTGTGTAGCCTAGACTGGCCTTGAACTCAAAGATCCTCCTGCCTCAGCCTCCTGAATGCTGGGATTACAGGCGTATGCCACCATGCTGGCCTCACTCAGAGTCTGTAATTCTCTTTTTTTCTTGGTACCAGGAATTGAACTCAGGGCTCCATGCTTGCTAGGCAGGTGCTGTGCCACTGAGCTGAGCTATATCCCTTCCTCTTTAATTCATTAAGTATATTCAGAGTAAACTTTTTTTTTTTTTTGCATCTGGGATCAAACTCATGACCTTGTGCTTGCCCGACAGGCACTTTTGCTGCTAAGCTAAATTGCTGGCCCCCTGTTAAATATATTTATGGGGAAAAGTTTGTAATAATATGTTTTGGTTAGTGTTTGGTGCGCTAAATGTAATATGATAGTTTTTAAAAAAATCTTTAAAGTTTTCATTTGAAAGGTGGTATAAATATATTCCAATTCACACAAACATATGCAGTGAAATCTCTCTCAATTTTGGCCACCCGTTCATTCACCGCTTTTTTTTAAAAAGTAATTTTTTACATTTAGAGAATTTCAAAGTACATAAAAGTAGTAAGAATATACTACTTCATCAGTGATCATCTTGTCTTCATCTTTCTCTTCCTTTCTACTCTTTTCTTTGATTGGCACTGTGTAATATTTAAATTGGAATCCTAGCTTGACAAGTGGTGGTACATCCCTTTAACCCCAGTTAGGGTTACTGTTCCATCAGTTTTCTTGCAAATGACATGATTCTGTTTTTCTTTATGGCTGAGTAATGTCCCATTGTGTGTATTATGTTCCATTTTTTTATTCATTCATCTGATGGGCATGTAGGCTGTTTCTGCAACTCAGCTATTGTGAATTGAGCTCTTACTGGTATGAAAATGGATGTACTACTGAAATATTTATTTTATAATTGTTTCAGGAATATGCTCAAGAGTAATCGAGCTTGGTCAAGTGTTTTTAGTCTGTTAAGGAGTCTCTATACGGATTTCCAAAGTGGTTGTACTGTTTTACATTACCACCAGAGATGTAGAAGATTCTTTTATTCTCATTATTCAGTTTGTTTTGTTTTGTCTTGCTTCATTTGTTTGTTTTGTTTTCTGGTACTGGGGATTGAACCTAGGGCTTTGCACTAGTTGTACCCTCACCATTTTTATTTTGGAAAAGGTCTTGCCAAGTTGCCCAGACAGAACTTGAAATTGGGACCCTTCTGCCTCAGCCTTCAAAAGTGCTGAGATTATAGGTGTGTAGCACTGCTCAGCTGTTTGTTATATTTTTGATGATAGCTGTTTTGATTTAGGTGAGGTAGAATCTGAATGTAGTTTTAATTTGCATTTCTCTGATGACTAGAGATATTGAGCATTTTTCATATACTCTTTGATCGTTCAAACTTGTTTTGAGGCATATCTACTTAGTTCTCTTACTTTTCATTGAAGTCACTGTTTTATGGGGAGGTTAATCTTTTAACTACTTTATATATTTTAGATTTTAGTCTTCTTGCCAGGGACGCTCATACCTATAATCTCAGTACAGGGAACCTGAGCAAGAGAATTTTGAAATGAACCAGAAAATCTAGAGACAATGTTCATTCACATGTAAATATTAAGAAATCTGGAAAGATTGTTGAGGAAAGAAACAGGAGGGACAAAACAAAACAGTGAATGTCTCAACCTAAACCTCCTCCCAATTGACAGAGAAAGGAAAACAAAACAAACTAATAAACAAAGAGAAACAAGGAAAAAACCTTTTTTCTGGTGCTTGCAGTTTTGTGATGGTGTCTAAATCAGAGCCCAGATCTGTGCTGGGTAATCCCACTGCGTGTGCAGCAGGGTCCATGCTGGGTGCAGATGGCATCTTTAACCAGTGGCTTTGGCCAGCAGCTTTCTGGACTTGCTGCCCACATCTGTTCCATACCACTGGCTCCTCTCAGGCTTCAGTCACAGAGCACCCATGGCTACTTGCGTTGCTGGTCACAAGGTAGGGAAGTGCTGACTTCCAGGCCCAAGGCTGCTTGGGTCTCACATCGGCAATCTGCATGTATCTGCGATCTGCATGTATCTGCAATCCGCATCCATCTCGGATGTAGAGGTCTTGGCCTACCTCCGGTCTCTTAAGTGAGTGGATAGTGAGTGGCTTAAATGAAAGAGATGTAATGTTTAAGGGCTACAAGAGGGTCAAAACCTTCTAATGGAATTTGCAATTCCTTGGGTTGAGACAAGGAACTCTGGGCAGTCTGTATTAATTTGGTTTTCAAACAAAGGAAGGGGTTATTGAGGCAAGCATGGGAACTGAGAGGACCTTGAGAATCAATTCAAAGATTTCTCCAATTGGTAAATCTTGCCAGTTAGGAGGACTATCTTGTCTTAGAGGTTAACAGCTTATTGCTGTGGACTAGGGGTGTCAGCAGTCATGTCCTCTGCTGCCTCAGCTGTGGTTGTTTTGACCTCAAAGCATTGTGCATATGCTGTTTTCCAACACAGCCAGAAGCCCTGTGTTCAGAAGCTTGATCCTGTGCAGCCTGGTCTCCAGTTCTCAGGGGTCAGGCTGTTCACTCATTCTTATTGCCACCACTGTGGTTCCTAATCTTGTTGTTGCTAGAGATTCCAGTTAGCCTCCACTCATTCTTGGTTTTTTTGATGTGCAAAAGAATGTTAAGTTTGATGTTGTCCTGTTTGTTGATTCTTAGATTTCTTTTAGAGTCTCATTCAGTTTACTCTATGCTTATGGCTTTCAAGTGTTCTCCTATATTGTCTTCTGTCAGTCACAGTGTGTCTTACATAGTTACTTTTTACTGGTCCCTGAGACAACATACCTGATGCCCAAAGATGGGAAAGGAAAGGTTTATTTTTTACAGTTTTTGGAGGTTTTAGTCCATACTTAGTTGGCTCTAAGGCAGGCTAGCATGGCAGAGCCGCAGTTCATGGTGGCTGCAAATAGCAAGGCAGAAACCAGCAAAAAAGCAAGACACACCTTCTTCCTGCCGTTACATTACATCTTGGCTCCACCCCTAGGCCTTTGTAGCACTAACACCCCCAATCCAAGCTCTAGACAATGAAGCAATCACAAATGCACAGTGCAAATGCATGAGGCCTGGGGGCCACTCACATAAACCATGACACAGTGTTTCTGATTTTATATCTAGGTCTTTGGTCCACTTTGATTTGATTTTGATACAGGTTGAGAGATAGTGATCTACTATCAGTTTTCTATGTGTGACTCCAGTTTTTCTTCAGCATGCTTTTGGCCCCTCTGTCAAAAAATCGGATGACTAAGATATTTGGGTTTGTTTTTGTGTCTTCTGTTGTTCTATATTTATGTTTTCGTGCCAGTACTGTCTTGTTTTTGTCTTACAATAGCTTGTATTATAATTTGAAATACAGTATTGTGATGTCTCCAGCCTTGGTCTTTTAGTTCAGGGTAGCTTTGGCTATTTTGGGTCTTTTCTCATTACAAATGAAATTCAGGATTACCTTTTCCAGTTGATATTTTAATAAGGATTACATTGAATCCGTAGATTGGTTTTGGTAGTATGGCCATTTTAACCATTGTAATTTTTCTAACCCAAAGAGAGGGATTTCTTCCATTTTTCTAATGTTCTCCTCAATTCGTTTCTTCAGAGCTCTGATTTCATTATAGAGATCTTTTACTTTCTTGGGTAGACTCCTGGGCATTTAATATTTTTGAAGATATGACTGGAATGGTTTGGTGAGTTTTTTTTGTTATTTATTACATATTTCCCTATCTATGCTCACGTTCATCATAGGGAATTTGTACTCTGAATATCCAATTTTGTATTTTCCCATTTTTCTCTCTTCCCTTTAACCTTCATTCCTACACCATTTATAGAAACTTTGTTTCCATTTTTCCTTCTATATTTTTCTTTTAATCCCCTTTGCCTTGCTTTTCTTTCCCCTCTCCTTTTCTTAGTTCCTCTTTCCATTTGAGTATGTTCTTTTTTAAAAAAATTAGTTATTTAATCTAGGTGTTTTTTGAAGCAACTTTATTGAACTAAAATTAACATACCACACAATTGGGCTGGGAATTTAGCTCAGCGGCATAAGCACCTGCCTTGCAAGCACGTGGTCGTGAGTTCGATCCCTGGTACCGGTAAAAATACAAAAATACACACACACACACAAAAAATACCACACAATTTACAAACATAAAAGGTAGAATTCCATAAATTTTAACACACTGACGGTGATACTGGCAAAATACAATTCTCCTATGTCTGAAATGCCACAGTTCATGTTCTCTAAAATTGAGGAATGAATTCTAGGAACAAGGCTAAGATTAGGAAGAATTTCTTGAGGAAAAAAACCTTTTGTCTCTTATTTTTTAATTTAAAGAGAAAGAAACAACAACAACAACAAAAAAACATGGAGAAAAAAAGGGTAGAAATAATACAGAATTATAGAAAAATAAACGGTAAAAAATCACCAGTTGATAAGGTACACCAGTTGATAAGGTATCATCTTAGAAATAGTTGTTAAGGTTA